TAGGGAACAGGGACGGAGAGGAGTTGATATATTGTATAAAGAGCAATAATCCTTGGACTTTGTATGGCTCTATTAGAAGAGACATAAGTTGTTAGAGACGCAGTTGCTTGTAAAAGGCTTTTTAATGGCAGAGGCTGGCTTGTGCCAAGTGTAATACCTGGGGACCTAAGCACAGCTGTGATGCCAGCTCCTCCTGGGTACTCCACTCACCCGTTCCTACACTGACGCAAGCCTGTTAATTTTAGCTTCCGAAACACGCTAGAAATCAAAAGACAACAACTTAAACACAGGTTTTGTTTGGGTGTTATTGGGAGTGTCAGCCCTCCAGCGCTGCCAAGGTCCCTGGAGCTGCACACCCCACGCTGCCACCCACCCTCCCACAGCACCCGAGGGGACACGGGGACTGCCCAGGCCTCAGGGACAGCACAGACTGCTTCAGAGGGAGGAGCTTTTCTAGTGTCCCCTCCAGAGCCAGATACTTCCCCTCCTTGTAAATGAATTGCTGAGCTATCAAGAAAAATCAAACATTATTTATGACAGCAACTCTAAGGCAGTTTTTGCAAACAGCAGCCCTAACTTGAATCCTCCCGGGCTTTTAAGACAACGCTGCCTTACTGATATTAAATAGGTACTGGGAACTGCAGTCCTGGAAAGTGCCCAGAAAACTGTGAGCTATACAAAGAGGACTGAACACCCTGGCAATTTATATATTAAAATTTTAACTTCTGCTTTCATTCTTGCTGTGAACTGTTCAGTTCTCTTCAATAAGCCAAATACTAAGAAGCTTTGCTCTTCACAAGTTTTCCTCTTCTTTCTCTGCAAGTCATCCAAACCCAGAATGTAAAAAACCCCATGTTTTCACAGTATTTTCCTCTTTATATTTTATTTCATAATGACAATATTGTGTTAGTAATGAAAACAGACCATTGTGCATTATTCACTTCAGTAACACAACAAAGGTGGTTCCAGTTGTAAAAACAAATAATAAATAAGAAAACAGCTAAAATCTCCTTGTAAACACAGCCAGGACCCACCGAGGCTCAGAGGTAGAACCAGGACGGAGAAAGTGGAAGAAGACTCAGAATAACGTTCCCGAACTGGTCCTTGGTGCCTGGCTCTGCTCAAACAGCCGTGAAAAGCCCGGGCAATCCTGTGCTCTGGCAATGCTGGGTGGGCAAAAGATGGTTCCCTCGGCAAGGAATGAGTACCAGCGGGGTACAGACCTCCACGTTTGGTCTTTAGGGATAAATGGAGACACGTGTGGCACCTCAGTAGGAAATGATGCTGGTGGCAGGTTCCTCATGACCCAGCACAGGGATCTGGTGTGGTCCTCATCACCCACCCATGGGCTGCTCTCACCGTTGCTGCCAAATGGGATCCACAGCTTTCTGGGGTGGTTGTGGGACCCCGAAATCCCAGCTCAGCGGGGCTTTTTCCAGAGCTCACCCCATGAGTCTGAGCTGACAGCATGCCCTGCCGCCCCCCGGAACACTGAATTCACAGCCCATGGCACTGTTTCGCTTGGGTACCAAGGTTTCCACTAAAATGCTGTGGCTGCAGACTGGCCAAGGGAACACCAAGCCCAATTTTAAACCAGGGAAAAGCCTCAAGTTTTCTCTCCCATCTGTAAAAAAAACAACCAACAGCTTTTCAATAAGATCACTCACCAAAGCGCCTGTTTGACTGCAAAGCATTCTTCTACTATCATCATCAGTTCCTTGAGCCCACAGGAAACCTGCTGCCTCCAGCCCCTCGGGCAGCCCCGCTGGACCACGCTGCTCGCGTACCTTGCCCCACGGTCACGTTACAGATCTGTCTGGTCAGCCCTCAAGTTATTACACAGGAAAGGTGAGAGGCACGCTAAGTGCTACAATATTGAAAATAATTTAATTTACAGGCTCCTCGGAGCAAGGGACGTGTGTATGCTTTGAGCGGTGCTTTTCTAATAAATAGACATATTTAATAATAAAGATAAAATAAATAACAGTAATAAAAAGGTACACATGTGACCTAAGATTATGTGCAATCTGAATGTCATTGTAGCTTAAGCAAAGGATAAAAACATCACTGCTAGGAAGATGCTGTACTGGAAGAAGGTGTGAAGCTGTGCTGCAGCGCATGCGAAGGAAACGGCAGAAGGGTCTTAGGATCAGGAGAAGGTGGGCACCGGGTCCCTCCAGATGCAGCGTAGTCTTTGGACTTCTATTCTAGCCATTCCCTCGTAGGAAAAGCCCCATGGGCAGGTCTGGGGCAGCTGTCCTGGGCATTACAGGAGCTGCAGGCTCCTGCGCTGGCTCTGCAGGGCAGAGGCAGGGTCCTGAGAGCAGGCAGGAGCTCTCTGGTGATGGATGCTCAGGGGAATCCAGTCCCTTTTTCCCAGGCTCGCAACCCAAAGCCGATTTCTTTCTCTCCCTGCGGTGGTCCAGGTCTCTGGATGTGCTGCAAGGGGAGGCATTGGGTTCCCACCTGCTCCGCTCCTCCAGGGAGGGAGGACCTCTCTTCCCAGCAGCTCGATGGGAAGAAAGAAGCTCTTGATGTCCTGAGGTTCCTCCTAAAATTCCAGGACTTCAGCCAAAACCCTGCCACGCAGACCTCAGTCCTTGTAAACCATCTCTCAGCCTCTGCCCCGTCCCCTGGCTCATCTCCCTGCCGTGGATTTGGGCTCGGGTCAGGTATGCGACCGCTTGCTGACGCCACGGCTGGTGGCCTGCTTGGTCATATCCTGGTAGGAGGCGGACTTGAGGAATCGGGGGTAGGAGTCCTTCTCCATCAGGGTGCGGGTCTTGGCTTGGGCTTCATTGAAGCAAGCGGAGGTAGCACCTGAGAGGTTCTTCCGGGTGATCTCCCTGGTTTCGTGGTCAATATTCACCTGCAAGGAAGCAGCATCCACAGAGATTAACTCAGCATTAACTCCCCTCCCATGGAGGGAGGAAAACTGTTTTCTCCATATTCAGGTGAGGGTGAGGATGCTTGCAAGCCTTTATATCCCTTCATGTTGGTAAACAACATGAGGTTGAAAGGAAAGCTCTCATCAACAAGAACACATCTTCCCACTTTAATAAAACCCACTGGGATATTGTATTCCTTTCCCACCCTATTTGATGCCACAGGACAGAGCCTGAAAATGCTCTCACCTCCCTAGGCGCCTCATTTTGGACAAACTCCTCAAAGATCCTGTTGGCCTTGGAGGCCAGCTTGGTTTTCGACCGGGTCTTTTTGAAGTCCTCACATGCCAGCCAGAAGTCGAGGTTCTCCTCGCTGAACTCGGTCTTCAGGAAGGTGTGGAAGGCCGTCACCCCACCTGCGGAGGGAAGAAGAGAGCAGTTAACAAGGCAGGAGAGGAGAAGGAAGAGCCGGATGGCTGCCACACACAGTGCTGCGGTGAGCACTGCCCTGGGAGCTCAGACCATGACATCCGCAGATTTCCTTTCCCTCCAGGCAAATTCCACCCTCTGAGATGCTGCTAATTGGCCTCTAGACTCCAATAAAAATGTTTCCCACAGACAAGTAATCCTCTGGTTTTATTTATCTGACCTTTCTGTAATGAGGCTTCAGAGTATTTTCTTTACAGCTTCGGAAAAGAGCTAATTCTACCTCAGGAGAAATCCACTGAGGTATCAGTATGCCTGCAGGAACCCAGCAGCCATGGCTTTATTTTTATTTTATTTCTTGGCTGAAATCTAGGGAGAACGAGATGTTCAGGAGTATGAGCGAGTAATTGCAGCAAGGATTTCAGAGCCAGGCTGGGGGATACATTAAGTTACAAAGCCAGAGATGGTTATTAGCCATCACAGCCCATGAGGAAGGCTGGAAAAAAAAACTATGCCTAGCCCCAAACTAGCGCTCCGGAAGGGCTTTCTCTTGCTGTGAAATAGCTTTTAAGGTAGACAACTATTTTTAGTTAAAATTTGGCACTCCTGCTGTTGTGTAGCTGGTATAAAGCCCAGGGTAAAGAAGGGATTGCGTGTAGGACTCAAAAAGAGGTCCCTTCTCTAAGTCTGGAGGTACTGACTGCATGGGAGAGGGGGAGACAGCACCTTACAGGAACTCAGTGCATCACCATACGTGTTGCAAATATTGGAGGGGAAAACAGCTACGTGTAACTCAGTAAAGCAGCTGAATTCCTTCTCCCTGTGAAGAGCCATCCCCAGAGGTGCAGGATGGACACGACAGAGGGCAGTAACACGGTTTTCTGAGCTATTTCTGAGGTTTTTTCCAACAAAAGCCTACAGGGAGGTGGCTGTGCTGCTGTGCACAGGAGGATACAGGGACCAGCCACACACACCAGCTCTGTTAGGGCAGAACATCTCATTTGAGGAGGCAAGGTCTCCTAGGCTGGCTGCAGGCGTGCAGTCACCGTGTCGCTCACTGGGAGCGTGCTGCTCCTACGCAGTCTCATCAAGGGAAAAAAAGCAAGATCCTACTCACTCTTACTCTTCAGGAGCTGGTCGAAGGACTCCCTCCATTCGAGTACCTCTCGTGAGGAGTCTCTGGAAAAGAGAAAAGGTGTAAGGCTTGCTGTCCTGATGACGACTCTTCTCCTGCCCCACGGCAAAGGATGGGAGCACTTTGGGCGCTCTGTCAGAAACCAAAGCAAGATTCCAATATCCATTACCTGTGGACTCTCTTTCCTTTCTCCCTTTCTTTTGCCTTCCGTGATGTCTCGCCAGACCTCAGCTCCATAGTGCAGCTTTGGCCAGGTAGCTTCTCTGGAGGATACTCAGAGGAGCCCTTTTCTGCTGGTACAAGCCCAGCAGAGCCTCCTTTGCAAAAAGATGCCTTGCCTCCAGCAGCAATATTTAGTATTTGGTTTTTAATGCCGCCTGGCTCCCTAGGGAATGCACAGAGACATCAAGAGTTGCAGGAGCCCTCTGAGTTTCTGGCCTATTGGCTAAGGACCTGCTTGCTTGTGCCTGTAATGCCAGAGCATCAGTCCCCCAGTCTGATTTTATAACTGGTGCAGCTGGGAAGTGATCCGCCTTCCCTGCCTGCTGGGGTGGGACCACAGGGAGGGTGAGCTGTGCTGTCTCCTCTGCTGCTCAGATGGGCAGGAGCATCCCCTGGGACAGCCTGGTCCATGGGGACCTGTCCCAGGCTGAAGCCAGGACATGGCACCGCTTGGCTTACCTCCACCTGGAGCCCAGCTGCAGCTTGCTAGAGGTCCCGATCCTGTGTCCCAGCTCAGGCTTATGAAGCAGGATCCCTAAACGGGTCTTCAGATCCTTGGCTCTGGAGGGGAAGAAAGAAAGTGATGGGACCACTGGACCACCAGACTGCTGCTGCCAACCTCCCAGACCCGACACGGCTCATAGGGGCAGTCCTCACTCCTCAGCTTCAGCTGATTCTTTGCCTTCTGATATATGAAATACACACACACACACACACACCGCTCCCAATTGTGGTTTCTGCTCCCTGGCAACTGCACTCAGCAGTGCATTATGCCCAGGGGAGCGTTTCCTCCCGCTCGCTTCCCAGGCAGCGCTGCATGCATTTTATAGAGCACGGGCAGCTTTTTCCTCTGGGGCAGGTAGCAGAGCAGCTTCTGAGTGCCCAGCAGGAGCCTCCGCAGCTCCCTGGAGCTAACCTTGCTCCTTTTCCCGTCCCCTCCTATGCTGCTCTCCAAAGCACTGGAAAAACACAGCGATTGCTTTCTGCTCGGCAGAGCGGAAGCATCTCCCTGCCGCCAGGCTGCTGCAGCACGGCTGATGCTCCCTTACTTTTTGGGGGGGATGGGGGGGGGGG